TAATGTTCCAACAAGCCTGCTTGATCAATTACCAAAGAAGAATGCCAAAATTATTCAACAAAGATTTTCTTATCAAAGTGATAACATTTTGTGTTGCAAAAATGAGTACACCCTCCTGAAAGTTACTAAATAAAACAAAACAAAAAAGTGTATAGGTTTAAGGCTATTTTTGATCAACAGGTAAGTATATTGAACCAAAACGTTTAAAGACAAGTAATTTCCTGACAATTAAAAGTGTTATATAGCCCACTGAATCATACTCAGACTTAATGCTGGCAGCAGTGGAACCACTTGGGAGAGAACTGCCAGGTGACTTATTTCTTAGCATAAAAGAGGACAATGGTACAAGAGGAATACCAAATTATTGTTTTAAGTGTGAAAATATAGCAGAAGTAGCACCAACATTCAAAAACAATGGACTTGTGATAAGGCTCCTGAAATAATCAGGTCTTCACTTTAAGTTTTCATTTAGTGATGATGAGTGAATTTTTGCTAGAAAAAGAGCAGGAGAAATTACATGCAAGTGTCTCAGAGCCGGCAAAAGCTGTGAAAGAGTGACACTTTATCTCACAGAGTAAGATGCAGCATGCAGAAGTGACCTGCATGATTGTTGTCACCACTAGAATTACCTACTGTAGCCAAAGCAAAATAAATTCATTTAACCTCTTCCAGGGCCCATATTTACAAAATATAGACTTCTGGGAATCTGTACTCTGGTCTCAAGAGACCAAGTCAATCATTTAGGATCTAACAGCATCCAAAATGTTCTGGTGTTGCTAGAGGAGGAGTACAGAGAGAAGTGTCTGGTTCCCACAGTGACGTTCAGTGGTAGTAAAGCTATTATATAGGGATGAATGAGTGCTGAAGGTGTGAGGGAGTTGTGCTTTTATCAATGCTGTCATGAATTCACACACTACTGTGTGATGTAATACAAAAACCTGAAACTGAAGATGCAACCCTCCCCTAATTCCCTGCATTATTGGGCACTTTTTCAGCATAACAATGAATATATTAATTGTCCCAAGGTGAAAATCCTTCAGTGGACATGTATTTCACGCAATCTTAACACTCTTGAGCTGCTGTGAGAGATTCTGTAGAGACGAGCTGAGCAACACTCCCCATTAAAGATCAGAGCATTCAAGGAGGTCGTCGTCCAGGAGTTAAACAGGACAGATGTGAAAATTTGTCATGAACTTGTACACTCGGTGCCAAGAAGGGTCAGAGCAGTATACTTTAAGTTCTGGAGGACATACTAAGTACTAGAATATTATACATTTTCTGGTTTAAATCTAGGGTGTACTCATTTCTGCAATCCTTAATTTAAACAAAATTGGCTAATTTACTTATCTTACAGAAAATATTGGCATATATTTTGTTGTTTTTATTAAGTATATGTTTAATATGAATTATGAATTATATGAATTATATTAGTGATCGTTAAGAAAATACATCTTTTATATTTATTCAGAGGGGGTGTACTCATTTATGCTGTGCACTGCATATTAAAATGATAAAAAAAGGTAATTTATGCATTGATAAAATTAATACATTTGTCAATGAGCTCACCTGTGATGTCTATGGCTCTGTCAGAGTTGATATTCTCCATGCTGCCTCTTTCTCCTCTCTGCCCCCCAAACGCTGCCATCAGCAGCACATCAGATAGGCGGCTGGCACTCTGAGACCTGCCCCGACAAGAAAAAGAGTGAAGAAGATTATAAAAGAGAAAGCAAAAGAAGAGAAAAAATAAAAGCAGAAAGGAATGCAAAGGACAGCGAGGGTTGTATCAGCTTGAGTCCAGGGTTCCGTTCCAAAACTAGGAGAGCTGACAAGCTTTTTGAAGAGCGTCATTGTAACTTAAGAGGTTCCATTTTGTTTACAATTACTATGGTTTGAAGAGGAGGAATTATTTTTTTCTTACCTCTCAAAGCCTTTCTTCTCCTCAGAATGGTAGGCAGGTGACAAACTAGCCTCTCCCTGAGCTGGTCTGAAGCCCTGGTGGGTCAGAAACGTGACCATGTTTGGGGAACTCAGGGGCTTGGGAAACTCAAATGGGGGCATGGCCTGGGATGGAGAAAGAAGAGGATATTTTTACATCATTTGTTTTCATTTATCAGATGGTATTCACAACAGCGCTTATAAAAATCTGGGGTCAAGAAGACAAAAAAATAAAAAAAATAAAAAAACTACTTTTATTCAGCCAGGATGCATTAAATGAGTCAAAAATGGCAGTAAAAACGTTTATAATGTTACAAGGGATTTTAATTTTTTTAATAAATGCTTTTTTAAACTGTCTATTCAAAGAATCCTTAAATAAAAAAAAACTGTTTTCAACACAGATAATTATAAGACATCTTTCTTGAGTAATGGCTGCTGAAAACTCAGCTTTGCTATCACAGGAATAAATGACATTTTAAAATATATTAAAACAAACAATCAAACAAAAAAAACCAATAATATTTCCCAATATTACTGTATTTTTGATCAGATAAATGCAGCCTTGGTCAGCATAAGAGACTTCTTTCAAAAATATTTTACAACTCTTACCAACCCCAAACTTTAAACAGTTTATATTGCGAGTTTATGGACACACAAACAGACATGAAATCTTACTCTGGAAGGAGAACCCAGGATGGTTGGTAGGGGGTTGCGTTGCATAAGTTCACTGAGCCTGGGTGAGGAGTGCAGGGTCCTAAAGGGCATCATGTTTCCCTGAGGGGCCACCACCGGGTCTGAATGCTGCTTCCTGATCTTCTGCCTGCACCCACCAGCTGCCTCCAGCAAACAGGGGGCGCTGTTGAGCCGAGTGCCCAGACCCTGCTGCTGTTGCCGAGCCTTGGTTTCTAAACAGATACAGACAGGAAGAGTTCAAGTGGAGTCATCCCAAAAAAAAAAAAAAAAAAACACTAATAGATAACATTCACATTCTGGGAAGAGTTGAAAGCAATTGTTTCCCAACTTTCTTGACATGCGATATTTACAAAAGGGAAAGTATGAAATACTGTCATCCCATTTAAAAACATGACAAAAATAGTATGCAAACAGAGGAAGAATGATTATACCTCCACCCCGAGAGCCCCTGTGACCCATTTCTGCAGTTGTTGGGCAAACTTGACCTGGCAACTCAGGAATTGTGCCCACTTTTGAAACAAAAGAAGGACAGAGAGAGCCAGAGTTTGTTCAGAAGCACAAGGGTTCTTAAATCATCTTTAGCTAGTGACATGACTAGGACAAAAGAAGGCAGCACTCACCCTGTGGAGAGAGCTGGAAGGGTTTCGCGCCTCCTGTAGACAGCCTGCGGGAAGTGAGAGCAGAACCAGACTGAGGAGGAGAAGGCCCTGTCCTTCCACAAGCCAGAAAGCTCCCGCTACTACATCTCTGGACCGTGCCAGACCTGCAAAAGAAAGAAAGACCAAAAGAAAAAAGAATGAAAGACAAAGAAAGAAAGAGAAGAAAATTAAATGAATAAATACCTTTTAAAGTCCAATTGAACTGAATAAAAAAATTGAACTAAACTTTAGATACAAAACAATTCAAATTTGAATAAGTAAACTGAAATTCAAAGAAATGCATGTACTATTTTATTTGTAATTTTTAATAATAAGTTTAATTTTTCTGTATGAATTACCACGTTATTATACAAACAAAAACTATTTCTAGAAAATTTTATGTAATTATTTTTAATAAATTAACTTCAATTTTACAGACCATATTGGAACAATACTTTCCCAAATGATTTACCTAAAAATGAATTATCTGGTTATTTTTAATGTTAATGTTCTTTAAAAAAAAAAAGAAAAAAAAAGTGTCAGACATTTTGTGATACTGTTTGGCAAAATTAAAAGGTTAAATTAAAAGTTTTAACGGCTTAATTAACAGCACTGAACTTAAAGAGTATTGAATTTAGAGAAATACATCTTATCGCTTCAGAAAAATATTATTCTACATATGAGAGCATAATAGGTTTTGCTGCAAAACTTGTGCTGCACCAAAGAAATGCCTCTGTTGTGTAACAGTGTTGACCTTCTTTGAATTAAAATTCAGTAAATGCCTCTTCTTGTCATTCCAACTCAACTTCCTGTGGAGCATGGCCAAGTGAATAAAAATTCAGATTCTTGAATTTCAAGGAGGAAATATTAGGAGTCACTCACTGTGGAGAGCCCTCTTGACCTGGGAACTGGAGGTTTTGCTCCATGCGCTGGTAGTTGTGAATCTGTGTGGGGACTGGAATAGGTACGGACTGCCCATAGTTGCCATAGTTACTCCCAGAAAACTCACTCGGCCTGCTGAGAATGAGGTGGAAATAAAAAGTAGAGGGAGGGCCAAAGATATGGAGCAATTGAACAAATAGCGAGAGAGAGACAGACAGAAAAAAAGGGAAAACATAAAAGCACAAACATCAGTATATTCCAGCACCCGATCGATAAAATAAAAACATTTCAAATCTCACAGGACATTTCTGGACAGAAGCAGAGGCTGGGAGAGATCTATGACCGCCTATCGTGCGAGACTGTGGGTTTCATGGGCCGTGCTTAATAATGAAGGAGAACAGGACGAACTGTGCCCATCAAAGATGCAATCCTCAAGCCAATCTAGGACTCATTTCCCTTGTGGCAAAAGCTCTGAACTTCAATGACCCAGAAACCAAAGAGTGAAAAGATTAGCCTTTGCTTGACAGGAAAAGTCATTCTCTGTCTTGCTGCTATATGTAGAAACTGTGACCTAAAAAGGCCAGTGGTTTCTACTCGTAACTTGCATGTAGGGATGTGCAAAACTACATATTTTTCAAAATGCACTGGCGGGCTACCTGAATCTTTCAATACACCAATTAAAGCACCAGCTAAAACATAAACAAACAAATAAAAATAAATATTTATAAAAATAGATAAAAATAAAATCAATAAATGTAAATTTAAAAAAAAAAAAATTCACAAAAAATAAATACATATAAAATAAAATAAATAATTCCATGACTAGACAACTATCATGACTCATCCTATTTGCTTGCAAGAAAACAGCTGAAATGCCCTGACATGAAAAGGTCGTTTTGTTAGTCATTTTTTCAGCGCCGTACTTTCATCCGGCTGTGGTCTTACCCGCTGGGTCCTGGAGAGCTGCTGTAGGAGGGAGAGCGTGGCGGAGTTTTTCCTTGACTGCATTGACCTCCAGACGCTAGAAGAGAACTCCTAAAGCAGGACAGAGATGGAGAACATTAGCAGTGGATTCATGCCAAACGATACTATAGAATATGTTAGCATGGTTAATTAGTGAGGGAAATTTACTCCATTGAAGAGTATCAAACTGAAAATGTAATTACGCAAGCTGTAAAGTGCGTACAGGCTTTACAACCAAACATAAAAAACTGTGCCAAGTGTGTGGTTTCTTATTTTATATATTACCATTCAAAAGTCAGGGTCAGTATGTTTTGTTTTTTTTTTGCTAAGAAAGAAAATGGTTCTTTTTTTTCAGCAAAGCATAAACTGATCAAAAGTGATTTATAATGTTAGTGCTGTTATTTTGAACTTTCTATTCGTCAAAGAATTTAAAAATGCATCAACAGTTTCAACAAAAATATGAATCATCACAATGGTTTTTAACATTGATAATAATATGAGCACCAAATTATCATGTTTAAATGATGTTAGAAGAATCATGTTGCAAACCGGGTTCAAACTTGCATCAGCTACATGAGCAACAGCACCAGTGCAATTTGTGGGCATTACTGGAGTTTGCATCTACGTTTATGAATTTGGCATTTGTAATAAAATGTCTGTCCCCAGGAATCAAACCCATAAACTTGCCGATGCTTTTATCATAATAAACTTGGTTTTTAAATTTGTATGATAGATTGACTTTTATAGTCAAGCAGGAAAGAGATTTTGTGGGATCTGTAAACTGTTACAGGGTATATACAGGAATCATGGAGTTAAATTTAATAACTTTTAAGACTCTTTCCATACATTTTAAGACCTCATCGCCACTCCAAGTTTTAACCGGTTACATCAACTAAACAGATTTACTTTGTGATAACTCCTTATCAATACAACATTATTCAGAAGTGGGGAACGAAGCACAAGAGAATTAATTTAGTGACTAACCAATGCAACCCAAGAAACAAGAATTAGACCAATAAACAAAACAACTGACAAAACTTATTGAGGAGGGAAAATAAAGCTCTCCGAGCTAACGGGGCAATGAGTTCACACAGTATATTCAAAAGATGTATTTGTCATATCAACTCAAACCATAGCTGTTTTGTGGAACACTTCTCATGACAAACATCTGACTGATCAGACAGTTTACCTGTGATTACGGAGTGCTTGATTTGATGCAGACTTGACAG